TCAGATGCTGTTGTTGATCATCAGCAATCCCCTAAAAGTGTATCATCTTCTCTGTGTGCTTTAAGGCACACAGAGATATGTGATAAATATTAGACCGTTTCAAAGAGTCATGACCATTTGAAATGAACTAGCAAGATAGCCATTACCAACAATTCTGCCTAACCATGGAGATGAAAACTGGCTTCTTGACAACTTGATAGTTATATTATTATTAAAAACAGAAGAAAAATAAGAGGACATTTATCAAGTGCTTACTATGTATCAAGCACTAATGATAAATAAATATTTACATGTGTAACTAGTTTTATGTGCAGGAGTATGAACATTTCCTGTGTGATTTAACAGTTTGATTTAAAATTTAATTAGCTTCTGTTATGTGTAAAGCTGAAGCATAACAAAGATGAACCAACTAGAGATCACAAATTTAAAAATATCTATTAGTTCAAGGCCATCATCCTTTTTTGCAATTCAAAATCCAAAATGCTCTAATTTTTTTGTAACTCATTTGACAGCAAAAATCTGACCTGACCTGATGATAGATTACTTATAAACTTATCTCTTCTAGTGTGAATACTAGCCATTTTGCTGTGTAAATATTGTTTGATAATGGGGCTCTGCCACATACATACCATTGAATAATGCAATATATATGAAATTGCAAATTTTGAATTGATTCTCATTTGTATTTCATTTGTGAACACACATACACAAGTGCAACTGCAGTTAAAGTAGTTGCTTCTGTTTTAAAATACTATTGTAGGTGAATTGCTAAGGATGAATAATGTAACAATCTTACTCTCATTCTTCTTATTCATAATTTAAAGTCAAATAAGATTAATAACACACTTCAAAAGTTTATGCCAAATCTTACTTCTCCTGGCTGTCATCCTGAAAAAAAAATGCCAAGAAATGATGATAGCAAAACATGTTTATTCCTCCATGGAATGTATAAATTAAAATCAAGTATGTGGAACTCACATTTAATAGGATTAATTCAACACATTAACCATCAATTAGCAATCACTGAATGTTACATAAGACAATGTATTAGGCACTACTTTTTAAAAAGACAAAAAATTTACCCAGAGAGATAACAAGGTACACTTATTTTTAATATATCTTTCAAATTTCTTCTCATAATTTTCTACCATGGTTATGTGCAATAAATGAACTAGACTGTGTAATGATTGATATAGATTGTCACAGCTCATCACTCGTGTGTCTACTTGCATCAGTTATTAACTTTATAGAAATAACAGGTCATGCAGCAGTTCACTCAGGTTCGGGAAAAATAGTGCTAGGTATTTCAAGACCAGGTGAAGATCAATTGTTCAGGAGTTTGGTGAAAACATTGGAAATGTATTCTACTATTTTAAAATACAAAGGATCTAACTCTAAAGGCTTTACAGTCTTATATTTCTTTCCCTAAAGATTATATATTTCCTTTGCATTTCCAAGCTAAATCTTTCCAGGCAGTTAGTGGTAAACAAATGAATATGCTTACAAAATGGTTGTTTAGTCTTCCTAGTCCTCCTCACTGTAACAGACTTAAATTACTGAAATTCAGTGCACTCTTTGAAGTTAATGGAAGTTTTGTTCTTAATTGAGTAAAGGGCAGTATAAAAACATATTAAAATACTCTCAAAATGATTTTAGTAATCCATAGATTCATTTTTTAATGATGAAAAGTTTGCTAAAAAGACTTTGTTCTAGTAAAGTTATCTTAACCATAATATAAAAGATGGTTTTTCAGTTGCCACACACACAAAAAAATCATGGAGTGCTTCAGACTTCTAGAATCCTAAACTCCATCTTCTAGGCTCAAGAAATCTTGTTTGCTACTATTATGCATATAAAGGCCACATTTAAAAGCATTCTGATTACTTAAACATTTTGGTTTAAAGCTTACTATTTAATGAATCATCACATCACTACATGCACTCAAGGTGTTAATGCAGCTCAAGATGAGTAATTTCTATTATGGAAAAGGTTACTATACAATTAGATAGTTTTTCATTTCTTTTTAAAAATTACTATTTAGTAATTAGTTACATCATTAGCTTTAAATTTTAAATGAGCTAAAAGTTAATTTTAAATGAAGTAATTTTAACATAAATCAAGAATAAGATTACTAAGAAACTTAGTCAAAATGTTTTGCCTAGAGCAAAAATTTTTACTATTTTTGGAATTATTATCCATATTTTCCACAGTAATGTATAAAAAATAGGTCAGCTATTATATATATATATATATATATATATATATATATAAATGAATAAAGATATCTGGCTAAGGGTATACAGGTGTTTGGCAATCTTGTTTAAGAACTCAGATCTTTGCAGTCATTATTCGCTGTACTATGGTTTTATCACAAACAGCTTCTCTAAAATATAAAAATGATTTAACCCAAATTTAGAATTTTGTTGATTCCATCTGATTATACTTCCCCTTTCCTCACATTCCTCAACAACCAGCCATGTGCACATGCATGCTCATGTGAGTACATGCATGCAGGCATGTGTACACACACACACACACTGACACAATAACTCACCCCCCCCACAAGCATGGTAATCAAGATGTTAGGAGACCAGAGTGCTAGGCTTGCTTCTACTTATTCAAGTATTAAATTTTTGGGGTCTGCTTTCCCAATTGTTTCTCCTAGTTTCTTAATTCTGTTCTAAATCTTGGAACATATCAAATCCTTCAGCCTGAATAATTAGTCTCATCCAACATAAATATTATAAAGGGTGTCCACTGAAAGTTAAGTCACATTTTATATTATAGCTGTTTAACTTTACAAGTAGGCACAGGTGACTATACTTGAAATTGCTGTTAGATACCTAGTAGTTGAGCTTATGCCATTTTGGACTAATGATTTTTAAGATTTAAAATTGTAATAGTAAAAATAGTCTACTTCACATTTTGGGCGACAAATATTTCTCATCTGGTCAATTATGGTATGAATTCACTCATGTGAAATTAATTTAATAATATAAAAAAAGTTGACAATGTAAATATTCAAAATTTTATAGTGACATAATTTATATTCTTCTATTCATAAACACTATTGAAAATACTTACAAGAACCTAGAAAATGTACAAGTATTTGAAAATACAATTAAATATCCACTTCAAAGATACACAAAAAACACATTCAAATGTGACTTTTGATTGAATTAATTCTCTGGGGACTTCCTTCCCTATCATTTCTGCTTTGGAGGAATAGTGGTTCAGGGTAAAAGGGCAGAGGATAAGCTTCAACCCAGAAATCCCCCAGGTCCATGAAAACATGTACCTTCTTTTGCCCCTTCTGAACACACATGAAAGGAAAGATAAAAAATTCTCATCCACTGTAAATATGTATGCCCATGAGCAGTCAATATCAACCTCACATTTGTGAATGCTTTCTCTATTTACAAGCTTTTTATTTTCATGATTCACTTGATTCTTAAAATAATTCCATGAAACTCAATAAATGAGGTTATTAGTCTTTTTTTTTTATGGTGTTGGGGGTTAAACCCAGATATCCCTAGATCTTTTCATTTTTTATTTTGGGATAGGGTCTCACTAAATTTCTTATGGCCTTGATAAATTGCTGAGGCTGGGTTTGAACTTGTGATCCTCCTGCCTCAGCATCCCAAATTGCTGGGATTACAAGTGTGTACCAACATGCCCAGCACTAGCCTTGTTTTATAAATGAGAAAAATGATGCTTAAAGAGATCAAATGACTTCCTTATGGTCAAATATTGGTAAGCAAAGGCAAGTTTAGAACCAAGTTTTTCAATTTCTTGCTAAAATATTCTTTCTGTTATACCATTTTGGTTTTCAAACAAATGAAGAAACTATAGTTCAGTGGTAAAAATTTTATGCTTCTAGAAAGGCAGCTTCATTTGGTAACTCTTTGTAATAAGAACAGTTTACAGAACAAAATGGACATGTATGTCATATAAAATATTTGATAGTATGCTCAAAATGTCCTAAGAGAGAAAGTTTAATCAATAAATTCAAAATTAGAAAAGTTGAAAGTCATTTTATATTCTTAACTGATTCTCATCCATTTTGTCTATCTTTACTTGTACTGGGGAGATTGTAAAATGCAATTTGAATGCTAAATTTATCAAGCATCTAACCCATTTTCCTTGTCCAGAAAAGTCTTTTTTCTACACTTCTATTGTATTGAAATGGGAAAATTTGGAAATTTACTTGGACAAAAATGCTGTTACTAAAAACATTCTTGTGTCTATATGGAAAATTTTGAAAGTGGTTCAAAGTTAATTCCTTTTTTCATGGAAAATGTCAGTATATAAATAAATTTTGTATTTTCTTGTCTAAATCCAGACAGTATACTACAACATCAAAATATCTGCGATTGAGTGGTCCTTCATTTTTGTTTTTATAAATATTTGCTTAAAATATTTTGTCTGAGGGCTGGGGATGTGGCTCAAGCGGTAGCACGCTCTCCTGGCATGCATGCAGCCCGGGTTTGATCCTCAGCACCACATACAAACAAAGACGTTGTGTCTGCCGAAAACTAAAAAATAAATATTAAAAAAAATTCTCTCTCTCTCTCTCTCTAAAAAAAAATATATATATATATATTTTGTCTGAATCCTTATACATCTTATAAAATAAAATTTTCAAGAGCAATAAATCAAGCAAAAAATGAGTATAAAACTTATTTTCCCACTTTCAGGCAAAAATAAGGGAGGATAAGTACTTCTGAGAATCGTAAAAAATCTGGGATCTTAAACAAGGAACAGCTACTTTTGTCCTAGTCAATATTTTTCAGGGCTGGGTTGTAGCTCAGTGGTAGAGTGCTTGTCTACCTTGGGTGAGGTCCTGGGTTCAATCCTCAGCACCACACTAAAAAAAAAAAAAAAATAAAAATAAAAAAAGTTAAATTCTTAAAAAATACTTCTGAGACTGTTTACTTTGCAATTGAACAGCATACTTTTAAATGCACTTTAATATTCAATATTAATTAACTCAAGGTAATATAACTCCTAATAAAATCTTCAATTAGACAAAAAAATCCATTTTGGACTGTCAAGAAAAGTGCATAATACTGACATATCTGGACACTAAGGTCAGCTATATGCTAACAAGGTAAGAAGTAAGAATGGAAGGAATTATGTAGATACTCCAGTTTCAAAAAGTTGTCTGCCAAGCCTGATAATTTAGCAAAATACCCAATCTTGTAGTGTAACAAGCATAGTGCTCTGAATCAAATAGCTTACAAAATAGTATTAGTATAGGCCTAACTTTTTAAAATGCTATCATTGCATCCTTCTGCCATTAATGTTGATATTTATCCTGAAGTGACACCCAATCTGTTCTTGTTCTTTGGCATGTTTGAAGTCAGCAAAAGCACTCCTTCCTGGGCTTTACTGCTTCCTCGGAAGAATGCACAGTATTTGGAACAAAACCACTTTTGACTCCTTCCCAGCCATCCTGAATACAAATTTCTCCCTTTTTAATAAGTTCATATATGTCTCTTGTCAAGATTGTGAAGGATTCCTCTACATTTGTAGCATCTTTTGCTGAGGTTTCTATATACTTCATTCCACAGTCTGCTGACAGTTTTTCAGCTTCTTCCCTTGTCACTTGACGTTGTGAAGCTAAATCACACTTATGTCCCACCAGTAGAAATACAATCTGAAATGGCTGTACGTGCATTTTTGCTTCTTCTAGCCAATCTTTTACATGTTCAAAAGATCGTCGGTTAGTAATGTCAAATACTAAAAATCCACCAACTGAGTTGCGGTAATAGGATCGAGTTATTGATCTGAAAAATAAAGAGAAAAGGGGTTGTATAAGACAATGTATTATCTTCCTCTCCTTCAAACAATGTAATACCATAAATAAAATTTGAAGATATTTTAATGTGATTTAACTAGAATTTACAAATCAAATATAAAGTGTCTCAAGTGAACAAAAGTATTCTATAAGACTAACATGCAAACCTGTTTCATACACTGACAGAACATTAATATTTTTAGATGGATATGGTATGTCATCTCACATGATCTATGATTATGTTTTTAAATATCTGATAGCATAATTATTGCATCATTATAGGTAAAAACAGTCATATAAAAAGACTAGAGAGCGTCGGGGTTGTGGCTCAGTGCTTGCCTAGCTTGCATGAGACACTGGGTTCGATCCCAGGAACCACATAAAAATTAACAAATAAAATAAAGATATATATAAGACTAGAGAAGGACAGAGGTTGCACAGCAAGGTGAATCCTAAGAATCTCAGCCTGTCATGTAATTCAACAACTCCCTCCACCAAAAGTTTGGAAAAAAGAAAAAAGAGCAGTATTATGGACTGAATGTTGTGTTCCCTTCCCCCAATCTTTATGTTGAAATCCCAATCCTGATTGTGTTGATGTTAGGAGGTAGGCCTTTGGGATATAATTTAGGTTATGAGGAAGGGCCCTTATGAATGGGATCAATGCTCTTTTTATAAAAGAGACCTCAAAACTCTCTAGTCTTCTTTCTACCATGCGAGGCTACCACAAAAAGATGGCTGTCTACAAGCCAGAAAAGAGTCATCACCAGAACCAGACCATGCTGGTACTCTGATCTTGGGCTTCTAGCCACCAAAACTGAGAAATACAATTCTGTTGGTCAAGTCTCCCATTCTATGGACACTTGTACTAAAACAGAAAACGTGTTCCAATATTAGCTACAAGTATATGCCTCTGCTATACCTATTCAAGAAACAGGAAGTTATTTGGACCTGGGATATGAATCTGAGGTGTGCTAGTGATTCTCAGTTTGCCCCTCCAAGGATTCGTCTCTACTCTTTTCTCGGCTTTAGGAATCTGGCCTTTGGAGAAAGATCTCCAAATGGAGGTCAGCCAATGGGGGATGCTAGATGGGGACTGGAGGAAAGGGAAATAAGGATATCTATTCCTTCCTTTGTCTCTGTTGGGCATGGCACAGCAGTGGTTGTATTCCTCTGCTTCTGGTAAAGTTCCTTTTGGGTAGTCCCTTTCCCATGGCTACAGCTGTCATCAAGTTTTGATAGTACCATTCTATCAAATATTTCTTCCAGCCAGGTAGTTAATGGCCTCACACTGTTGCTATTCCCTAGATGCTTCAACATCCTTTGTTACTGCCCTTGACTTTGACATCTCTGGAAATAGTCACTTTATTCAGCTCTTTTCAGTTAACCTACTATTGTGCCACCTGTTTCCTGGCTGAATTATGAGGTAACGTGGCAAGACAGCACTGTTGTTTTTTGTTGTTGTTTGTTTGTTTTTTGCCCTTACCTATGTTATTTTCTCTACCTATCATGCCTTGTAGCCCTTTTCTGTCTAGCAAACTCCTATATCTCCTTCAATAGTCAGCTCAGGAATTATATCACCTGGAAGGCCTTCCCTGCCACTGACTCTTAGGCTCTGTCTTAGGCACTCCTTCTCTTATTTCCACTGAACTGTTGTTGCCTCACTGCCCTCATGATTATATCAAATTTCACAATGTGCTGACTGGATTTACTGGTATGTCTCCTACTCAATTCCAAGTTCCTTGAAGGTCAAAAAATAATTTTTTAAAATGTGTGTACCTAATAATCATGTTGCCTGGCAAATACAGATGTTATTAAATGTTTGTTATACTGGATTAGTGAATCATCTTGGAGAGGGAAAGAGCTAAGTGTTCTGAGTCAGGGATCCTGTGTGTGTGAGTGTGTGTGTTTCTAAGTTGCCAATGCTTCTCATAAAACTACCTGACTATTTGCCTGAGGCACAAAGATTTTTGTGAAGTGCCAGTGGATTGTCTGGTGCTCTCCTATTCTCCATCTTTCATACATCTTCATTATCCTTATTGCTAAAGCTACAGCTCAGTTCAATGACCCAATACCACAAATACTTTTGTTGTCAGAATGTGAAGAAAGTATTTTACCTCGCTTTTCTACTTCTCCTGCCTCCCAGTTTCTCCTCATAATTCCTAATAGGTTCTTGAATGACTATTTCTAAAACACTATTCTTGAGGATTACATTACTGCACAGTAATTGCCAATAAGAAAAATCTCCCACAATCTTTAGCAGGCTATAAATAATGCCATTCATTTAAGTTGTTGCTGTTTTTTTTTTATTATTTTCACAGGATAGTTAATTTGTTATTGTTTTGCCACTTTATCTTTATATGTTTGAATTTAGGCAGATGTGCAGTGTCATAAGAGAAACTTAATTAAGGCTGTCTTGTTAGACTGAAAGCTTTAATTTATTCAGGCACCAAGTTTGCATTATTTTACCCTCTCCCAAATTTAATTTGCCATTACTATAATTTTTTACAATGTGCCTTTTGTGGTTGAAAAGTCAATATTGAAATGCTTACGTAGTACACTGAGGCATGTCTTACACATGTAGGAAATACCATGTTTTCTAGTCCCTGGTATTTAATTTTGGAAATCAAATTTGGAATACAGTTGGAAAATCATCCTATAGCAAAGTATTTGTAATACATTCTACAAAACTATCCTTATTAATAGTTGGAATAAAGGTCTCAATATGACATCTGACATTTTCTATGTAATAACCGGATCTCCAAATTCTGTGTGTGAGTCTAGATATTATGTTTAGAACTCTGACCTGTGAGAGCTGGAGATGTAGCTCAGGGGTCAAGTACTTACCTAACCCAAATTCAATCTTCAATCCCCAGTACTGCCAAAAAAAAAAAAAAAAAAAAGAAAGAAAGAAAAAGAAAAAGAAAAGAAAGTAGAATTCTGACCTCATTAGGCTTGGCTTCAGATTTATATATAGTTGTCCATGGGATACGGTTTTTCCTGAAACAATAGGGTATCCCTGCTGTCAGTTAGGGAAAGGGCAGGCCTTCAGATAGAAAACTTGAACTTGAAAGGGAGGTCTTACAGGTAATGATGTAATGAGGAAATTTTTTCTCTGGACCTTCCTCCTTTAGGTCTTTAGAAGTTTTTGAAGTTATTATGAAGAGGTAGGGAACAGAACTCAAAAGAACTACATAGGTGGTTCTCCCACTAAGGAACTTAAGAATTCATGATAAGTAACAATTCTTTAAAAGCAACAATACTTTTTTTTCCATATTACTTTATATTTATTTCCTTCTGGGATTTGAAAGCCTCACTGAATGAATGGATGACTTAAAGGAAAAAAACAGAGGAAAGGCAAGAAGAACAGAAGGAAGAAAGGGAGAGAGTAATCCATAAATGGATTGTAAACTGGTCTCATGTGTATAAAGGTGGAATTAAGAGCTGTGAGACCATCCTCTGGCAAGAATGATAAAGGGGTTATAATGATGTGATACGATAGGAAAGGTGAGTTATAGAGGGCAGGGATCAGGGCTACAAGCTCTTAGTAGCTCCTTGTCCTTCCCAAGAACATTTTTTTTTTTCTGGTTCTGGGAACTGGACCCAGGACTTCACATGCTAAGCATACACTCTGCTATAGAGCCACACTACTATTCCCTGGTTTTGATTATAAAAGAAATCTGCTTGTTTTATACTCTGAAGGCTGTACTGTCAGCATATATTATTTCATTTCCCGAGGAACAGTTTCCTCAGAATGTTTTATCCAACTCCTGAAACTTGCTTTCTCTGCAGCACATTCCTGTTGCTTATTCTGTAGGATCAGGAGGTGCTGGCTTATGTTTCCTCAATACCACATCCAGAGAGTTATTCCCTCCCAACCCTTATTGTAAAAAAAAAAATCCTCCTCTCCTGAGAGGCTTACGCCATCTGGCTTGTCATCTGCCAACTGCTTGGTCATTTTCCATGTATTCAAGATTTTAGCAGTTTACTTTGTTTTTCTTTTTCAATTCCTGTCCTTTTGCCTACTGATTTCAACATCAATTTGTATGTGTTTTCCAATGTCATCTCCTAGTCTCTTGAATTCCACTCATAAACTTTCTCCTACATTCTTCCTTTCTTCTTTTATCATCAGCAGAAACATTCACCATCTCCAAGTCTGCAAATTCACAAAGTCCATTTTTTAATCAAACTCTCACTGCCTGCCTGCATATTTTTACCACAATAATTCTTTTAATTTCTTCAAGATTTGTAATCCACTGATCAACTCTATCACCTATCTGTACCTTTTTCCATATCTTAGATTCTGTCATCATTATCACTGTATGGAAACAGCTACAATCCCAAGCCCTTCTCCCTCTAACATATTCATCTGGGAAAACTCTATTTCTTGATCAGTCCATCGTGCAACTGAAAGTTTCTGGGGAATATCACTCAATCAGGCAGACTGGTGTCAGTATGAAAATTATAGATAATCCCAAGTGGGTATTTGTCAGGAGCTGCCCTGGATGCAGATGCCTTTAAGTCCTGATACACGGGGTTCTGAACAATTATTGCATTCAGTCTGGTGCGATAGTGTCAGGTCTCAGTAACTTGGGTGTTACCCCAGCTTGGATAACAAGGCGTGGCTCCAGGAGTAGGTGTCACCTGCTGGGGTTGAGTTACACTCACCTATTCCTTTGTAATCCTACACCTTTGCCCTTTTTGGGATAGAATATTCCATGGAACCTCCTCTTGTGTGTCCCCTATATAAGAATAAAGAATTACAGTGGCTCTCTCTATTTCCCTGACCCTTAAGGTTGGAGAGCTGTCTCAGATTTTGAAAAGGTACTTCTGTGTGTTTGAGTGCTTCGTTGTTGTTTTCTTAAGTTATTGGAATAGTCAGATTTTGTGAACCCAGCATGGGTTGCCAGCTAGGATAGATGGCAATAGGTTCAATACTGCTGAGGAATACTTCTAGTATTAAGAGAAATTCTTCTCCCTCTTTTCTCACAT